TTAGCTCAATTTCATTTGGCAATCAACTGCTAATAACTTTCTCAAATCCCCAAAAAAATAGAAGGGAATGACCCACCACCACCACCTCCAATTCTGTTCTCATCATGAGACTAAAGACATAAAGCAAAAGAATATTTTGAAGCACATGAAAAAAAAAATACAGAGCTTACTCTTTTTCTTTTTCGTGACTGTCCCGGCTACATGACGACTCTTCATTTTCAGCATTACCTGCCGATGTGAAAAGCATTTCTTGAGCGTAGATCACGAGACAAAGCATAAAGAAGATTCATGCTGTTTCCAAAGAGATTTTAAAAAGAAAGTGCTTGGGAATATTTTGATGAACTACAAAAAGTTGGTTTTGATGGTTCAATCATAGATAAGATTTCAAAAAAAATAAAATTACTGCAAAATGGGAGTTTATATAATGCTTGTACCTGACCCATTCTGTTAATATAGACAGAGACTATCTTCCAATGTAGGTCACCTGCATTCAAACAAGATAAAATTGTATCTCCAATCGATTTAACAAACACAAAGATATAAGCACACACTATTTTCGCAGGTTTTTACCAGTGCGAGTTTTCTTCAAAAGTTCACATCCTCTCGCGAGCAACTCCCGGCTACAAATTCCAAGGAAGTTCTCTTCTGGAACAAGTTCGCCGCTAAAGCTCCCATTAGAACTCCCATTGCTACCTCCACCAGTAACTCCCATTCCTTTGTCGACCGGAATTACAGATGCCAAGTTCCACACATCCTTCAATGCCCTCGCCTTTAATGTCGCTGCCCCACGCAAAGCTTCAAAAAATCAAACATTCCCAACAAACTTTAGCCAAACTTACAAACACAAATAACGAATATAAGCTAGCTGAAATATAAGCTAGCTTATAGCTTGTATGTAATTTTCAAGCTTATAGCTGAAAAGCTAACTTATACGATAAAAGTGTTTGGTAAGATTAGCTGATAAGTTAGCTGAAATAAAGAAATTCAACCAGCTTATTTAAAAATAAGCTACCTAAAGAAGCTTATATGAGATAAGCTCGAGTTTTTTCAAAAAAGCTCGTCTCTTCCAAACGGGGCTTATTGAATACAGAATAAGCTAAATAAGCTAGCTGATTTGGCTACCAAACATAGCATAAACCACATATATCTTCCAAATTTACCAGTAGCAGCGGCAGCTGTGAGGGTCATGATATCACCGGGGGATCGGACATTGACGGCTGAGCTGACAACGGAGGCCAAGTGATCTCGCTCGGCTCCCATGGCCTCGGCCGCCTCCACGCACTGGGCGGCCACCAGAGTGGCGGCCGAAGCAACTGCCATATTAGTCTTCGCCACTGCCTCTTCTTTCCCGTCAGCGGCGGTGGCGGCAGCAATTGCAGCTATGGCTGACGCCACGCCAGCCACTGAGACAGCTGCGTGAAGCTGCGCGTTGTGGGCCCGAGCTTCCTCCTTTTTCTTCTCTCTCCTCTCCTTTAGCCACCGTCCCACGGTCTTCCCACCGCCGTTTGTGGAGCTTTTGTAGTGGTTGCCGCCTAGAATGTTCATGCGCGAGTACTGCATTGCATTTGTAATGAAGGAATGTTAATGAAGCATGTAAGCCATAATATTAATTAAAGGGTTGGCTGGGACAGTTTGGTTTCGTTTGGTTTGGTTTCATGAATGAACGAACGATTGGTCCCTGGTTTTCTTGAGATTACAATCAGAAACCGAAAAAAAAGAGGGCAAAATGGGTTACGAGCTTTCCGAGTAAAGAAATGTTAGGATGTTGATGTACCATAACTGTTGCAATTATTTTTTCACCTAAAAAGTTGGTGGCTATCATTCGCCGGAGGACCATATTCATAATATAACATGTCGGGGAAAAAACACGTACGTATTGAACATGGCTGTAAAATGATTTTTATCTTGCAGTAAAGAACCACATTCAACACACACACAAAGGGAGAAAGAAAAAAGAGATTCAGTTTCCAAATTAATAGATCAATTAAAGAAGATGAGCTTAAAGAAAATAGTCAAGAAGATGAATAACAAAATAAACAGATGGGTAATTAATAAGTCAGTTTTGTACGAGAAGGAAAAAGCATCAATGCTGTACTACTATCATACTACTACTTATCTGTGAATGTTTTTGAACAAAGAGAAAGCTGCCTCTCTCTCTCTCCCTCTCACCAGAACTTGTGCTCCGTGTCCAAAAAAATATAAAAAGCATAATCACAAGAGAAACTAAGAAAATCCTAACAGTTATGGGCCACATGCTTCACTAAGAAGATTAAAAACACAAGGGAAAAAGGATGAGATACATTAAAATAATAATAATAATAATAATAATAATAATAATAATAATAATAATAATAATACCACCTTGGGGTCATCCATTTCAGAGGGAGAAACAGGGGGACTATCTGTGAGAGAACCATTAAGAGGGCCACTGCTGTGTGAGAGTCTTCCCGAAGTGCGTGGTGATACCTCCTGCTGCATATGTTGCACACACTTCATATAGTAGTATTAAAAGAAAAAACTTCAGTAATCAATGATAAAGTCAATTAAGCACACATACCTAGTCAGAAAGCAAATATTTCTTGGTTAGAATTAATATTAAGATAATATAAAGTGAAAGGACTTCGAAAATATTGTAATAAATATTCACAAGAAGGACCTAGAGGAAAAGGGTACTGCATTATTACTTTTTTATTTTAAAATGAAAATATGTGAATAATTGTTTTAAGTGTCATGTATTGTCTTCTCCAAGACAAGACACACAATACTGCTACTACCTACTTAATAAATGCCTCCTAAGTAGCTTTAAAGTTCCAAGAAACTCTTGTTTTTCACATCAACAGCCTTACTTAATAAGCTCATTAAATAGAAGCAGATTAAAAGGCTTTGTAAAGAAACTATGAGAAACAACTGTAACTCCAACCCAGAACGAAGAATAAATTCAATGTAAAATCCACATCCAAAGATTTGCGAAGGAACCAAAAAGAGACAATTAATTTGATTTGTCAAAAATAAATTTTCACCCTCAGACAAAGCGAGGCAGCAAACAGCACTAAACTATAATAAGGACAAGAAAATAAATGATTTCTTTTGGCTCCACAGAATAATTCCAAAGCCCCAATATTTATGCCAAACTTCCAATTACACGCAACAGTGAAACACATAAAAAGAAAAACACATTTTTGTGACATCAAATTAGTAATAGAGAAAAAAAAATTCAATCTTTGACTCACAGACTGAGACATTATACGCTCCATGATGAGCTGAGATGTCTCCGAGCAAGCAAACGAGAAGGGGTTGCCGGATAAGGCGGAGGAAGCCGGCGGCTCGTCCAGCTCGACGCCGGCGTCCTCGTGTATGGTCTCGGCGCAACCTCGGACGGCGCCGTTTGGGGGGCTGTTCTTGGCCGCGAGCTGAGGCGCCGGCGGCGGAGCTAAAGCTTTAGAAATTTCATGAGCCGAGAGGCTCCATGATCGGGAGAGAAACTCCATGGGCTCCCTCGGAGTTTCCGGCGGCTTAAAAATGGGCTGAAATTGAGCCCGCTCCATGATTAGCAAGAGAAAGTGGGGTATTGTGCGCAGAGTAAGGTGGGAGAATTTTGCAGAGATGATTGAGTCAGTGGGGATAATGGGAGGGGTTAATGGAGTGAGACAGTTCTTTATAGTGTGGAGAGAGAGAGAGAGAGAGAGAGAGAGAGAGAGAGTAGGCTGTACAAAAAGGCTATACAATGTTGGGAAGGAAGGGAATTTGGGCTGCAGAGACGATTTGAGCTTTGTCCCATGTATTCATTCTTGCAGAATGACGATATTGCCCACTAATGCTTGGGGACAGATTTTTCATTTTGGGGCTCAGGCTTTATTAAGGTGTTTGTTTTCATAATATCCCTATATTTTAGGGTCCTCTTTCAGTAATTAAATTTAAAAAAGCCATGCCAATGCTTTGATGTCACATTTAGGGACGGAATCAGGATTTATAACTCACCCAATCTAAAATCATGGTAGATATAAAATAAAAAATTATGATAAAATACTTTTGAAACAAATATTTTTTCTTTTTTTGCAATATATTTATTTAACTAAAATATTTTTTAGTTTAAATTTAGGATTGGACTTAAAAAATCCAATGGCACTTCATTATGACAAGAAAACAAAATTAAAAAGAGAGAAAACAAACACTTATTAAGAATAAATTTAACTTGTTGAACAATTATTTCTCAAATATCAAGGAATTATTTAATTTTCTCACAAAACCCCTCAAAATTGATATGTATGAGATGATTATTTAAATTTAAAATTGTTCGATAATTTATTTGATGTGATTATGCCACTAATTAGTTAGACTAAAATTATAAAGATTGTTCAATTTCAATTTTAATTATATATTTATATATAGGGTCGTGCTTCGGTGAGAAGGGTGCTCAATGAAAGAAATAAGAATAAATCGTAGTCATCGGATTGGATGATCCAACAGTAAAAAAAACAATCAACATTTCTACATTCATTAAGGGAATTATAGACATTTACTCACACATCAACCATCTACCATATTAATGGGCCCCACTCCCCAATTAAACCGTCCCATTCCCCCATGGCATCTCTCTCTCTCTATCTCATGCAGACACACACACACACACACACACACACACACACACACACACACACACACACACACACACACACACACACACACACACACACACACACACACACACACACACACACACACACACACACACACACACACACACACACACACACACACACACACACACACACACACACACACACACACACACACACACACACACACACACACACACACACACACACACACACACACACACACACACACACACACACACACACACACACACACACACACACACACACACACACACACCAACGATCACACACACAAACCAACACACATATACACACACTTGAATCGGCCAAAGCCCGAAAGTCACCGAACACTCCACAGAGCGTCGCCGCAGTCCGGCGTCGTTCGCCGTCGGTCGATACTCGATAACGCCAACGCCCGTGGCCGCCTTTTCTGTTCATCCGTCGACCCTGCCTCTCAAATCTGACGACGAGAGGTCGTCTTCTCCGGCGACGCAAACCAGAAAAGCATCCAGACACACGTCCTCTGCGTCTCCATCTTCGCCGTCCCCGCTCCAGACAACGCCAAGCAACTGCCACCATCGGAGCCGCCATCACGATCGGCTTCCACCTGCCTTCATAAGAGTGGCGCGCAGCCGTTCAAGTCGTCGTCTCCGGCGTCATCCTCCACCGTCAAGCTCGACATAAACCTCCTTTGTTCAGACGTGGTGGCGCCAGAAAAAATCGACCTTCAAGCTTGAAGGTCAAGCTTCAAAGGCGGTTTTTTGAAAAAAAAAAATAAAAAATTGTCGGACGTCGCCGGACAGCGGCCGCTGAAGACGGCGACTCCATTAGTCGCCAAACAGAGAAGCTGACGGAGCGGGGTGGTGGGCGTGGAAGATGAACTTAATAAACATGTTGATGCTTGGGCCTTTCTTTTGAAAATTAGATAATGTACAAGGACCTAATTGTAATTTTATAAATTTTCAATTGAGTTCATGTGGCAAATCTGTAATCTATATATATAATTATTGGCAAGCTTTCATAAATTTTATTTAGCCAGCAATTAATAATAATATGAGTTCATTTAATAAAAATATGTTCACCATTTAATAAAAATCTTTATGACCAGCATTCGAATGACAGTTACACAAGTAAAATCTTCATATTATTGATTTTTTATTCTGTAACGATTTTATAAGATTTTAATTTTTTTTAAATATACAATATTAAATTATTTTACAGCTAATATTTCTATTTTGCATTATAGTTATACAATAACAAAAGAAAAAAAAACTAAAAACTGATTTATATGGAATTTAAATAATTTATATTTATGTTATACATTTCCATATAGTCAAAATTTTAAAATGCAATACACACTTTATCTAATTTAAATTTTTAAGTATCATATACATACATATAATATATAATTTTGTGTTTCCCTCTGTGCATTTGCACAGGATTGAATACTAGTTTATAGAAAGTTTAATAAAGTCATATTAATTATAAATAAAATGCAAAAATATATTTTGTATATTCACATTAAATATATTTACACGTTGCGATTGCACAATACTAATAGACGAAACGCACATAAATACTAATATTTATTTCTTTAATTCAACTTTTAAACATATATAATGAGTTAATTAGTATATATTCAAATATTTATATATATTATATATTTCTATAATTACCAAATGCTATAATTTAAATTATTATACATAACGATTTTATTTAGTTATTTTCATATATAAGATAATATATAAGAAAAATTATATATTTTTAATACTTGAATAATTTTTTTAAAGTACATAATTTCTAAGGTGAATTTTTAATTCTGAATTACACCCGACTATTATATTTTAATTTTTAATAGTATTATCATTAAAAATGATATATTCAATTTAGATGTACCTTTTTGTTAATACCTAATATCGGCTAAACCTATTATAATATTACACGTGGATATGTTTTATATTAATTATTTTATTTTTGGGTTTTATTTTTGGGCCTTAAATAATACCATTTGAGATAATATCGGGCCCATTAAATAGATATATATATATATCCCCAATGATGGACCTGGATAGACAAGTCTGAGGGGGCACCGCCTCAATTACGATGGTTCTTTCTGATTCTGTACATTCTTCATAAAAACACACATGAAGAAAGAGAGAAAACTCATCAAACACTATACCGAAAAATCCTTAGAAATTCACCAAAAATCCAATACAAATAAATACACAATAAATTCCTCTGAACCCCCCCATGTTGATCAATTTTCGAGCATCAACAGTTTGGCGCTAGAGGAAGGGCGAACCTTCGCCGGAAAACGGCCGCTTCGCTATCGGAACACGATTACTTCAAGCTAAGCAACTTTAATCCTAATTTTACTATGATTATTCTGTATTCAAGCCGATGTTCTTCTTCAGTATGTTCATAAACACAACTATGATTACTACAAGATTTATTTGTTCCCCTGAAGACAACAAAAACAGTGAACAACAAAAAAGGACAAAAAAGAGTGCATCTTGACTCTCTGTTCTGTTCGTAAACTCCACAGATGACCCCAAAAATTGAGTATTGAGCTTGGTTTAATCAAGCTTTTGTACATCACAGTGATGTTTCTTTCTTTCTCCCTCCAATTCTCAAATTTGTTATTGCACAACAAGAAAAAAAGGGAAGAAGAAAAAGTCATCAGTCAAAGAAGATTGGTATCACCGCTTGCACATGGCCGGTGACCTCGCCGATAGGAAACCTTCGACATCAATACACGTGGAGACCTTTAACAATATTGCCACCTGTATTAGTTGATGGTGCCGCTCAATCACAGGGCCCACCCCATCCTTATCATAAACGCTGCGAAATACGATGTCGTCACCGAGATTCGACTTCACTTCACCGAGATCCGACTTCAATAATGGGCCGACATGGGCACCTCAGCTCAGAGAACCGACTTCGTAAGTCATCGAGGCCCGACCTCTTTCTTCCGACTTGAAAAATTGGCCGACTTTAATTGATGGATGAGCAGCTACCGGGACCTCGGTATCACCGACTTCGAAGCACCTTGAAACTCCTCAAAACGCGAACTCGGTTACCGAGTCCGAACTTTTCACAGTCCGGCCGACTTCTCAAGCAATTACCAACTTCATAGCCGGGATCCCGACCTCCTCGTCGAAACTGAGATTGTGATTTTTAATTCACCGGCTCTCGAAATCACGGCGGACCTCAATAACGGGCCGACATCGGCGCAAATCGGGCGATCTCTCCCTGTCTAAGTTGACCCCGGTATCTCCGACATCATCCTCACCGATTACCGAGGTGCATAAACCATCTTCAAAATCGCGGTCCGACTTTACAAATCGCTGGTACCGACTTCAACACAAGTCGCCGGTGTCCGCACCCGACCTCGTAAGTCATCAGGCCAAACCTCTTCTCTCCGACTTCACAGCCTGGCAACCCCATATCCGTCGGTCGAACTCACTCTTACGTCGTCGGTGCCCGAATTTGTTCCTTTGACCGCCGACGAGCTTCCAAATCGTGGTTCCCAAAAGCCCAATCGCTGCGAATCGAATGTTCGGCTGCAAATTACCAGATCTGGCAGCACTCTCTTTTTCCCAAATCTAAAGAAAAGAGAAGCAAAAGGAAGATGGACTTCGTTAGCCTTGTGTCCCTGGATTTTGTCGCCGGCTATGTGAGAATGACAAAGTGCAGAAGAAAAATTGATTTACAACCACATATAGGCGGCCCATTTAATGGTGGTCTCCACTTCATATTCCATTTGGGCCTCACACTTAAGTTGGCCCACACAAACCAAAAAAGGGAGATAAGCTGGAAATCAAACCGACTCATTCGTTGGGTTACATTCTGGGGTCGCGTTTATTTATTCAAATTGACATTAGACGGGGTCAAACTCATTTATTAATACTGGGGCCGAATTCCTTTACTTATGACGGGGTCAAGCTCGTTTATCGCTGCCGGGGCTCAATTTATTCATCGACGCCGGAGCCGACTTCATTTATTTACGCTAAAGTCGAAGTCACTTGTCTATTTGTGACGTCCTATATTTCCTCGCCGTGAGCTATGACTCCGACTGAGCCGACGTCTTATATTTGCTCGCCGTT